GCACAGCCCTCGCCCTGCCGGCTCCGCCTCCCACACGCTCACGGAGCTCCACACTTCATCCTTCTGCGTTACTCACTCACAACAGGAAAAGTCGGCTCACTGCCACCGCGCCGAGGGGGTCAGCGGGAGGACCGAGCTGTAAACACCTGGAGTTCGGGAGCCGGGTGGAGGTGGGAGGCTCCGGAGAGGGCCTGAAGCAGCGCTGCGCAGGCGCGATGTCTGTCTCGCGAGATCTCACGGTTGCCACGGTAACCCGCCGCTAGCTGGCTCGACTGCCTGATCTGGGAGCCAGTCCGACGGCAATAGTCTCCTGAAAGCTGGTCCTCTCACCTGCCACCCTCTCCCTTCGGACCCAATTTCTACTTTTCAGCGCCTGGCAGTGCAGCCCTCTCTCTCCCCGCTTTTCCCTATTTGGCTTGCCTAAGGGACGCCACACCTAACCCCGGCCCAGTGCCCTCTTCTTCACGGAATCCCTGTGGGAATCCCCAGCTCCATAAAAATCAAGATAAATGGAGGATCCAGAAGGGAGTGGCACACACACAGAGAAAGATAAATGGGGGATGAGGGTGATTTGAGGGAAAAAACATGCCTACTTTCGCTCACTCCTGTATAATCCAAAGAATTGAAAGCTGGCACTGGACAGATACTTAGATGCCAATGCTCATAGTAACATTATCCACAATAGCTAAACGGTGGAAACCACTCAAAGCACCTATCAATAGATGAATGGATGAACAAAATGTGATATATACACACAGCGGGACATTATTCAGCCATAAAAGAAAGAATGAAGTGTGGTGAGCTGTTTCTGTTTCCCGCGACCCGCACGGGAAAACGACAGGTTCCTGAGCGGAGGAGCTGGGGATTAGAAAATAAAGAAAAAACGAGACCAGACACAGAAATAGAGACAAGCTGGGGCCAGGTGGGGGACTCAGCTGACATTATATATAAGGTCATCCGGACATTATTCAGCCATAAAAGAAAGAATGAAGTACTGACACATGCTACAACATGGATGAATCTTGAAAAACATTATGCAAAGAGAAATAAGTCAGTCACAAAATGACAAATATTGTATGATTAAACTTATATGAGCTACCAAGAATAGGCAAACTCATACTGACAGAAAGTAGAATTGAGGTTACCAGGACTAAGAGGAAGAGGGGATGGGAAACTATTATTTAATGGACATAGAGCTTCTGGGGGGGAAGATAAAAAAGTTTTGGAAGTAGATAGTTGTGGTGGTTGTAGGACAGTAGAAAATCACCAGCCCTGCAAGAGGGGGGTGCAAACCTTGAAGCTGTCTCCGGAGATAGATAGCCCCGGACACTAAGAACCGGCTGAGAAAGTTAGGTTCTGATTAATTGTTGAGATAAACTAGATAAAAGAATGCCCGGCAGCAGTGATAAACTCCCATGCTGTTAGGATGCAGCCCAGACCCCTTTGGAATTTCTTTGTTCCCTTTACTCCCTCCTATATGAGAGATTTACGGTTTGGCCATTTGGCCTGGGGTCTTGGCCAACAGGTCAAGCTGACATAGCAGACAGGATGTCTTGTTAGAAGGTAACAAATGTTCCAGGAAGCCTCTGGCAGATGCATGTAACCAAAGAGTTAAGCGATAAGAAGATCACTCCTCTTTAATCTCTTTGTTCTCAGTACGCCCCACCCCTGCTTCAAATGGTGCATAAAAGACTGTAACTGGAGCTGCTCAGGGTTGCTTCCCACGCGCGCTTTCTGCCTCGGAGGCAGCCCGGGTTCGAATCTGCTAATAAAGGAAACTCCCTCTCCAAATTGGCAAGGGAGAGGATCTGTTTCACCAAATTCTTGGCTTGTCGTGGTTTTTTGTCTATCGGGCAGTTTCTCCTTATAACAGTGGTAAAACAGTATTGTGAATGTATTTAATTCTACTGGGTTGCACACTTAATAATGGTTAAAATAATAAACTTTATGTTATGTATATTTTACCATACACACGAACAGTACTTGTCTGTGGTCCCAGACATGGTCAGTCCCTCACTTGACAGGAAGCCTTGGGCTGGAGCACAGTAAAGATCCTATTTGCCAAAAAGGAAAGTGGGGAAAACCTTGTTGCATAGACTGTGCTTCTTCATACCCACATGTGGCACTGTGTTAAATATAGTCTAAAGGTGCACGTATTTCCATCCAGTTGAAGGGATGATGATGCTTTCAAAGCATCCTACTGAAAGTGGTTATTCAATAGGGGTGATTATCTGTCACAGAAGTCTGGAGGTTTTCCAGAACTGGCTCATTTGGCTACACAGCAGTTCATCAAAACCCCAAGGGCTTTCTATATTTCCATTTGCCATCCTCAGAATGTTGGCATTTGCCCTCAAGCTTGTTCTCACAAGGTCACAATTCCAATCATCACATCCTACACAATCACCTTGTATAAGGCAGTAAGTTTTGCCTCGTGAATTTCTTTCTTTTTACCAGAAAGAAAAATCGAAGAAGCCCCAACATACTTCCCTTAGTGGCTTATTGGACAGAATTGGCCAAAAGCCCACGCCTAAACCAGTCACTGCAGAGGTGAATGAGTCAAGCAAGACCGGCTTAGGCCAACTATGATTTTTCTCCTAAAGATGGACCCACCTTCCCTGAGCATCTTTTGGCTCCATAACTAAGCAGAAGTAGGGTTGTTGACAAAATAGGAGGAGATGGCTTCTAAGTGGGGAGCAGTGGCTTCCCCAGGAGAATGACATACTGTTTTCTGGAGCTCAGTTGCAGAATACATTAACTGGATATTAATAGGTAAGACACATGCAATATTATAACCAAAAGAGCAGAGTGGAGACAAAATTATAAGCCCTATATACTTTAATTCAGTCCTGGTTACATACTGTTATTGAAACTAAAGGCTAAAAATTTCACAAGTTTACTGAGGAATATTAAAACAAATGAGAGATTGTTGCCAGTGGTGCTTTGGGAAGTTGAAGCCCGGAACTAGTCATTATATCTTGCTAGGTTGTGTGAAGCTGCGAGATATTTATGGACCTTTACTCTGAATATTCTAAAAGTATCGATATTCAACCAAATTAAGGTAAAAGTGCCTCCTGTCAGGTATAGTCTTTTTCTGAAATATGTTGACAGTAAAATGGTCCTGGGTAGTTTTTTTTAAAAAACATATATGCCGGAGTCCATTCATTGTCTTCACTAGCTAAGTTTAGACAGAGACCCCCCCAAAAGCTAGTAGCCATTGAAAGTCCTAGCAAAGATCAGGGCTGTGCACCACCCAGTTAATCTAGGAACCACTCAGTTAATTTAGGTAATAATAGTTGAAGCATCCCCACCTTAGTTCCCTTAATTCCTTAGATAGTTATGTAGATCCTTGTTGATTATTGTTAATCAGTTACTCTGCCTACACT